CCTCACAGGAAGACATAACGCCGACGTGCTTTGGTGTGAGCTTTGTCCTTGGCAGCCCCCAACTTCATTGAAATCCAAAGATAAAAATACCCATTAGGTAGCCCCCTCCCCCCATAGGAAGGCATGGGACAGGGGTCCTCAAACTACTCAGCTCATCGACCCCTTTGCAAACATTTTTTTAAAGTGATTGTAAAGGCATTTTTGCCTCTCCGGTGCTCCTGGCCCCTCCCATGTTCCAAGTGCCCCCACAGCAAGGGCGGACTGAGAACTCATGGGGCCCCCGGACAATAGGGGATTATGGGGCCCCTGTGTCCTTGCCCAAACTCAAAAAAGTCTATGAAAAAGGTACCAGGGTGTTAGGGATCTGGGTTTGACCAGAGGTGTGTGGACTGACACAGGGAAACGCAGACTTCAGGTATGGTATAATAATAATATTTATTATTAGCTGCACAAATAAACAAACACAGTGCAAACAAGCTAACCTTAAGCTAATAGGTAACACAGTGCTGTCAGGGCTGGAGAGGGGAATCTGACAGGCCAAGCACACAGCATGGTATTTCCTCAGGCGCGCGGGGTCTAAGTCCCAGCCTCTATTCACCAGGGCCCCTGATGGTGGGGATGGACTTGGTGCAACTGGAACCAGGTCGTGACCCCTGAGTGCGTTTGGCTGTGGTAGAGAGTGCTGGCAGGTCCAGGTCCGAGCGGGATGGATGGATGACAGTCAGGAGCGAGAGTGGTCAGACTAGCCGGGTCAGTAACGGTGGGGACAGGCACGGTACAATGCAGCAGACAAGGGTAGTCAGGTCACACGCCGGGTTCAGTAACTCACGGGCAGCACGGTGTAGAGGATCAGGCAGAAGGATGGTCAGGGACGGAGTCGGGGGTCAGAGCAGGAGAATGTCAGCATGGATCAGAACAGGCAGGGTCGGCAACAAGGAACGCACTACAGGAACACAGGAATCAGGAACAAGATACAGGGGCTCATGGGCAACATACACCAAGGCCCAGATCACAGGCTGGTCATTCCTTATATGCACCTCCTGCAATCAGCCTCAGGTGTTTTGGCTGATTGCAGGAATGAGCCTCTGGTTGCTGAGAGCACCCGCTGGCCCCCTGGTACTGCAACCCACAAGGCAGAGTGCCCACCACTATTGGGGTCCATTCCTGACACAGGGGCATCTCATGGCCCTCTACTGACCCCGGGCCCTCGGGCAGTGCTCGAGTTTCCAAATGGTCAGTCCGTCCCTTCCCCACAGCAAGCATTGCTATGGGGGCATCTGAGCAGGCTCACTCCCGAGCCACTGCTCTGTGTGTCCATTCAGCCCCACTCCATCTCTCTCCTTATTAGCTGTGGCTCCTCAATGGCACCTGCCACTGTCTCAGCCAATGGGGAGGGAGAGTTCCCGAAGAACCGAGGCTTTTCATGCACATCACTGGGTTGCAAAGGGGCTCAGGTAAGTATTAGGGGGTTGGGGGCGCTGCTGCACACAGAAGGGTTTTTACCTTCATGAATAGAATTTACATGAGAGCCCCCTATCACATTAGAGCCCCTCCATCCAAGAGCCCTCTCATTACATCCATTTACAACAAGGCAAACAAGACATTTGCCTAGGGTGGCATTTTTCAGGGGGGGCAGCACTAACCCTTGAAATAAGGGATGGAAGAAGGGACACACGCGGCATATGGGGACCTGGTGGGTTCCAAGAGATGCTGTGGGTTTCATGACAGTGTATGCACAGCCCGACTCTCATTCCTGGGGATGTCCAGAGCTGTGAAGGTGAGTGTCTTTTCTCTCTCTTGCCATGGGGGATGGTGGCTGGTGTATGGGGGGCAGTGGTAGTGGAAAGCTCGGGTGGAGGGCAGGGGTGTTCTTGGTCAATGTCAGGCTCTTTTTGTGGGGGGCGCCAATTATTGTGTTGCCTAGGGCAGCACAAAACCTAAATACACCATTGATTACATCATAGGTGGGGACGTACAGTCCCTCATCACACAGCCCCCAATCACACAATCCGCCCATCAGAGTCCACCTACTACACTGTCCCCCCATCAAAAAACCCCTAATCACACAGTCCCCCATCACAGAACCCCCTAATCACACAATCTCCCATCACAGAGTCCCCCCCCAATCACGCAAAGAGCCCACTATCAAAAAGCCTCTAATCACACAGTCCCCCATCACAAAGCCCTCTAATAACACAATCCCCCATCACAGAGCCCATCTTCCCCTCCGTCAAACAATCCCCGCATCAAAGAGTCTACCAACCACACTGTCCCCCCATCAAAAAGCCCATAATCACACATTCATCACAGAGCCCATCAAACAATACCTGCATCATAGAGTCTACCTACCACATTGTCCCCCCAGAGAACCCCACAATTACACAGTCCCCCATCACAAAGCCCTCTAATAACACAATCCCCCCATCACAGAGCCCACCTTCCCCTCTGTCAAACAATCCCGCATCATAGAGTCTACCAACCACACAACTCCCCCATCAGAGAGCCCCACAATTACACAGTCCCCCGTCACAAAGTAAATCACCCACCACAGAGTCCCCAATTCAAATCAGGGACCTACCTTTTGGCTCCAGCAGTGCGGCGGAGGGTGGGAGGTAGAGCAGGTCCAGAGGATATGGACATCGACCCTTTCTTGAATGCCGGAGGCAGGCCTGCACACCGTCTGCTGGTGGGCCGGCCACCAAAACCAGAGCAAAAAATTATGCCATGCATCATGGACCCAGATCTTCATTGGGACATCGATACATTCAAGCATTTTTTTTTTACATATTGATCGATACATATTTAGATGGTATACATTTTTCTATCGATGGAATATAGAAGTAAACCAACCACAAATGTATTTCCATCATGCTTGTCCTCTGTGAGTGTCTTGTCTTTTTATTTATTTGTTGTTTTGTTCTGGAGCCTATATTTTCATTGGTTTTTAATTTTTTTATCTCAATAAATTTCATTGGTTTTTAATCATGTCTACTAGGGATGCGGGATTGGTGCCGATACCAAGTATCTTCATGAGTATGTGTGAAGATGCTCCCGATACATTGCTGTGTGATTTGCATGAACACAAAATGCAAATTCCAATACAAAGAATAGCATACGATTTGAACAGGAATGCCATTCCTGTGTAATTTGCATGTGGTTTCCCCACTGCTCCTGTGTGAACCCGGGCTTGTCATAGCCTCCCTGCACTGATCCCATGCTGTGCGGAGAGAGTGGGCATGTGGCGATGTATACCTTGGTGGCAGATGCTCCATATTCTCAGCTGTAGGAGAGGAGAGAAAGCGGTGGAGATTTGAAATCCCTGCACTTTCTCTCTTCTCCTTGCAGGGATGGCAGTACAGGCTAGAGGGCTTTTGATTGGTCAGCATCGTCACATGGATGGTGCTGACTAATCAGAAGCTGTCTAACCTGTACTGTCATCCCGGCAAGGAGAGGAGAAAAAGCCACGGGAATTTAAAATCCCCAGACCTGTAAAGCAGCTTTCTCTCCTCTCCTTTCAGGGATGGCAGTACAGGCTAGAGGGCTTTTGATTGGTCAGCATTGTCACATGGATGGTGCTGACTAATCAGAAGAGCTGTTTAACCTGTACTGTCATCCCTGCAAGGAGAGGAGAGAAAGCCATGGGAATTTCAAATCCCCAGACCTGTGAAAGTAGCTTTCTCTCCTCTCCTTGCAGGGATGGCAGTACAGGCTTGGGGCTTTTGATTGGTCAGCATTGTCACATGATGTGCTGACTAATCAGTAGCTGTCTAGCCCTGTACTGTCATCCTGGCAAGGAGAGGAGAGAAAGCCACGGGAATTTCAAATCCCCAGACCTGTAAAGCAGCTTTCTCTCCTCTCCTTTCAGGGATGGCAGTACAGACTAGAGGGCTTTTGATTGGTCAGCATCGTCACATTGAGAGTGCTGAGTAATCAGAAGCTGTCTAACCTGTACTGTCATCCCTGCAAGAAGAGGAGAGGAAGCCATGGTTGATTTCAAATCCCCAGACCTGTGATGCAGCTTTCTCTCCTCTCCTTTCAGGGATGGCAGTACGAGCTTGGTGGCTTTTATGATTGGTCAGCATCGTCCATGTGACTGTGCTGACCAATCAAAAGCCCTCTAACCTGTACTGTCATCCAGGCCAGGAGAGGAGAGAAATCCACAGGGATTTCAAATCCCTAGACCTGTGATCAGCTTTCTCTCCTCTCCTTGCAGGGATGGCAGTACAGGCTAGAGGGCTTTTGATTGTTCAGCAACATCACATGGACAGTGCTGACTAATCAGAAGCCGTCTAGCTTGTAATGTCATGGCGACAAGGGGAGGAGAGAAAGCCAGGGGATTTCAAATCCCCAGACCTGTGAAGCAGCTTTTTCTCTCCTCTCCTTGCAAGGATGACAGAACGGGCAAGGTGGCTTATGATTGGTCAGCACCGTCCATATGACGGTGCTGACCATTCAAAAGCCCTCTAGCCCGTACTGTCATCCCTACAAGGAGAGGAGAAAAAGCAGGCGGGAGAATTGAAATTTTCTCTCCTCTCCTACAGCTGAGAATCTGGAGCATCTGCCAGCAAGGTGTACATCCCCCCATGCCCTTCACTCCCACGTCCCGCCACGGGAAACCTCCCTGAACGGATCCTGTGTGAACTCAGCCTATGACAAGCCTGGGTTCACACAGGAGCAGTGGGGAAACCGCATGCGATTTGATATACAGTATATATATATATTTTGAAATATATTGAATACGGTCAAAATTGTAGTATTTCAAATATATGTCAATATATTTGGAAAAAATATTTTTAAAATACATTTAAAATATATTTTTCTTCTATGTGAGTATGTATCTTTCCTTCTGACACTGCTGCAGCTCGAAGCTAGGACAAGCTCCCTAATCATGGCCAGCAGTCACAGCGGTCTAGTTTGGACTTCAACTCAGGGCTGTCTTAAAATATGGGTACCTCTGGGCACTGCCCACGGGCCCTTGGCATTACATCATGCTTGACAACTGTCCCGGTTTTGCCGGGACAGTCAAGCTTTTTAATAAGCTGTCCCGGGATGGCCTGGGGAGCATCCCAGAACCTATACTGTACCTTCCTGATCCTAGGATTGTGCCCTCCTGACTCCCCCTGTACTGTGCCTTCCTGATCCTAGGATTGTGCCCTCCTGACTCCCCCTGTACTGTGCCTTCCTGATCCTAGGATTGTACCCTCCTGACTCCCCCTGTACTGTGCCTTCCTGACCCTAGATTGTACCCTCCTGACTCCCCCTGTACTGTGCCTTCTGATCCTAGGATTGTACCAGGGGCGGACTGACAACTCATGGGGACCCCCCGGGCATATAGGGGATCATGGGCCCCTGTGTCCTTGCCCACACTCCAACCACACCCAAAAAAGCCTATGAAAGGCAGCAGGGGCATCTCATGGGGCCCCCTACTGACCCCCGGGCCTTCGGGCAGTGCCCGAGTTCCCAAATGGTCAGTCCGCCCCTGGATTGTACCCTCCTGACTCCCCCTGTACTGCGACTTCTTGATCCTAGGATTGTACCCTCCTGACTCCCCCTGTACTGTGCCTTCCTGATCCTAGGATTGTACCCTCCTGACTCCCCCTGTACTATGCCTTCCTGATCCTAGTATTGTGCCCATCTGCCCCCCCCCCCAGTAATGTACCCTTTGTGTTGATTAGTCTTCGATTTATGGCACATTTTATTATTGTTTAAAATCAATTTTTAAGTACTAATAAATTAATGTTACATTCTATCAAATATTTATATTTTAATTCTTGATAGTCGGTGCGTAAATTGCAGCAGGCTGGTAGGGGCCCCAGTGAATTTCTTTGCCCAGGGGTCCATGATGCTATTAACCTCTTCACGCCGGCCGCCGCAAATGTGCTGCCTCCCGGGGGTCTGGGCCTTGAAGCCGAGCGGCCACACATTTGCGTGCAATTAACAAAAACATATGTGCTGAGAGCGCGCGCACTGTGTGCTCCCAGCACACATGTCCGGTACTCACGGAAAGGTCCCGATCTCCTCTTTCGATCAGGACCTTTCCCGGTGAATCATGACGGTCACATGACCTTAAAAACCCCGCCCCGCCTCCCGGTTTCTGAAACCCTAAAAGGGCCAGGAGGCGCTGGCGCCAAGGGGTTAAGATTGCCCTGCTTCACCTCCCTACCTGATTGGCACCTAATTTTGTCTTTCTGGGTCACAGTAGGTCTCAAGCTTGCAGCACCCTGGGACCTTTCCCATCGAATCATGGCGGTCACATGACCTTAAAACCCCACCCCGCCTTCTGGCTTCTGAAACCATTAAAGGGCCGGGAGGCGCCAGCGCCAAGGGTTTAAGATTGCCCTGCTTCACCTCCCTACCTGATTGGCACCAAATTTTGTCTTTCTGGGTCACAGTAGTCTCAAGCTTGCAGCACCCTGTCACCTTTCCCGGCGAATCATTGCGGTCACATGACCTTAAAACCCCGCCCCACCTCCCGAAACCCTTAAAGGGCCGGGAGGCGCCAGCGCCAAGGGGTTAAGATTGCCCTGTTTCAACTCCCTACCTGATTGGCATCTAATTTTGTCTTTCTGGGTCACAGTAGGTCTCAAGCTTGCAGCACCCTGGGACCTTTCCCGGCGAATCATTGCGGTCACATGACCTTAAAACCCCACCCCGCCTTCTGGCTTCTGAAACCGTTAAAGGGCCGGGAGGCGCCAGCGCCAAGGGATTAAGATTGCCCTGCTTCACCTCCCTACCTGATTGGCACCTAATTTTGTCTTTCTGGGTCACAGTAGGTCTCAAGCTTGCAGCACCCTGGGACCTTTCCCATCGAATCATGGTGGTCACATGACCTTAAAACCCCCACCCCACCTTCTGGCTTCTGAAACCATTAAAGGGCCGGGAGGCGCCAGCGCCAAGGGTTTAAGATTGCCCTGTTTCACCTCCCTACCTGATTGGCACCAAATTTTGTCTTTCTGGGTCACAGTAGGTCTCAAGCTTGCAGCACCCTGTCACCTTTCCCGGCGAATCGTTGCGGTCACATGACCTTAAAAAACCCCGCCCCACCTCCCGAAACCCTTAAAGGGCCGGGAGGCGCCAGCGCCAAGGGGTTAAGATTGCCCTGTTTCAACTCCCTTCCTGATTGGCACCTAATTTTGTCTTTCTGGGTCACAGTAGGTCTCAAGCTTGCAGCACCCTGGGACCTTTCCCGGCGATTCATTGCGGTCACATGACCTTAAAACCCCACCCCGCCTTCTGGCTTCTGAAATAAAGGGCCGGGAGGCGCCAGCGCCAAGGGATTAAGATTGCCCTGCTTCACCTCCCTACCTGATTGGCACCTAATTTTGTCTTTCTGGGTCACAGTAGGTCTCAAGCTTGCAGCACCCTGGGACCTTTCCCATCGAATCATGGTGGTCACATGACCTTAAAACCCCACCCCGCCTTCTGGCTTCTGAAACCATTAAAGGGCCGGGGAGGCACCAGCGCCAAGGGTTTAAGATTGCCCTGCTTCACCTCCCTACCTGATTGGCACCAAATTTTGTCTTTCTGGGTCACAGTAGTCTCAAGCTTGCAGCACCCTGTCACCTTTCCCGGCGAATCATTGCGGTCACATGACCTTAAAACCCCGCCCCACCTCCCGAAACCCTTAAAGGGCCGGGAGGCGCCAGCGCCAAGGGGTTAAGATTGCCCTGTTTTTCAACTCCCTACCTGATTGGCACCTAATTTTGTCTTTCTGGGTCACAGTAGGTCTCAAGCTTGCAGCACCCTGGGACCTTTCCCGGCGAATCATTGCGGTCACATGACCTTAAAACCCCACCCCGCCTTCTGGCTTCTGAAACCGTTAAAGGGCCGGGAGGCGCCAGCGCCAAGGGATTAAGATTGCCCTGCTTCACCTCCCTTCCTGATTGGCACCTAATTTTGTCTTTCTGGGTCACAGTAGGTCTCAAGCTTGCAGCACCCTGGGACCTTTCCCATCGAATCATGGTGGTCACATGACCTTAAAACCCCACCCCACCTTCTGGCTTCTGAAACCGTTAAAGGGCCGGGAGGCGCCAGCGCCAAGGGTTTAAGATTGCCCTGTTTCACCTCCCTACCTGATTGGCACAAATTTTGTCTTTCTGGGTCACAGTAGGTCTCAAGCTTGCAGCACCCTGTCACCTTTCCCGGCGAATCGTTGCGGTCACATGACCTTAAAACCCCGCCCCACCTCCCGAAACCCTTAAAGGGCCGGGAGGCGCCAGCGCCAAGGGGTTAAGATTGCCCTGTTTCAACTCCCTTCCTGATTGGCACCTAATTTTGTCTTTCTGGGTCACAGTAGGTCTCAAGCTTGCAGCACCCTGGGAAGCCCAAAAGGCACCTAAGGGTGCCACGGCACCCCGGTTGGGAAGCACTATCATACAACTCGGATGAAAATTGGAGAGCATCAAATGCAAGATCTGAAGTTCCTTGTCCATGTGGAGCAAAAATACATTTTACTGTCACCGAAAAAATTGAGATATATGGAAGATCTCAGGCAGTCGCACGTTAATCCTATTACAGCTGAATATCGGTTTAAAGGATGTTTTATTTATTTTTTCTTTTTTTTTTTAATGCTCTCTGTTCTGACCTTTCTTTGACATAAACTACTGACAGCTTGTCAATGGTCCCGTATTTGATAACTTCCATCTCCAGCTGAACTTTGAGAATCTTAAATGAGATTATTTGTCAAGGTCATCGTAGAGGGGACGGTGTCTGAAATATAGATCGGCAAATTGAAGAAAATCAAGAAAGTGGCATGAGGAATGTAATATATTAAAAGATAAAAGAAATATTAGAAGAGCTATAGGTAAAGCCGAACAGGACTAGAATGGGATCCTCGCTTTTTTCCTTCCATTCTGTCTCTCTGTTTCTCGAGAGATCTTCAGATCTGAAGGTACCCGGCGGAATCACAGTGGTTTCAGATTGCTTGTGTATGGCGGTGTCAGGGGGCGATTGGATACCTGACATCCATCAGCACCTTTAAGGCACTGATAGATGTCAGATAAAGTTTGAGATTGATTTTTTTGGATTTTTTTTTATATGAAACATCAAGTTTGACAGTTTTACCTAGTTATAAAGTTGCTCTGGGGAATTCCTTCACTCATTCCTACCATTAATGACCTTGGTGAAAATAACCAGCAAATGATGAGTTTTGAAAGGACTGACAATTGTGTTCACCCGAGAGCTAGGCAACCATTAGTCCTTAAAGGGGATTGTCCATAATAATTAAAGGTCTTGTCTATTGAAGACGCAATCGGTGTCAGACTGAACTCTGTGGAGGCCCCTAGGCAGTGGAAATCTTGGGCGCCCTTCACAGGTTTCTGGAGGTTTCTTTGGCTCTAGCGGGACAACATTGAAATATGTAGGGTGCACGTTGCCCACTAGATAGAGATGACCATCACCACCGTACATTACATGGATTGTACCAAACTTTCTTACACACTGACAGTTGAAAGAAGATGAGCTTTTAGGAGACAAATTGTAATGTGAACCTGATGTCTATGGTTACCATGGTCAAGGGTCAGGATAGGTATACAAGCAGGTTGGACCCAGTTATAAAGTTGCTTTGGGGAATTCCTTCACTCATTCCTACCATTAATGACCTTGGTGAAAATAACCAGCAAATGATGAGTTTGAAAGGACTGCCAATTGTGTTCACCCGAGAGCTAGGCAACCATTAGTCCTTAAAGGGGATTGTCCATAATAATTGAAGGTCTTGTCTATTGAAGACGCAATCGGTGTCAGACTGAACTCTGTGGAGGCCCCTAGGTAGTGGAAATCGTGGGCGCCCTTCACAGGTTTCTGGAGGTTTCTTTGGCTGTAGCGGGACAACATTGAAATATGTAGGGTGCACGTTGCCCACTAGATAGAGATGACCTTCACCACCGTATGTTACATGGATACCAAACTTTCTTACAAACTGACAGTTGAAAGAAGATGAGCTTTTAGGAGACAAATTGTAATGTGAACCTGATGTCTATGGTTACCATGGTCAAGGGTCAGGATAGGTATACAAGCAGGTTAGACGACGGGGGTCCACCCAAGGTGCGGAGTCTAAAGTAACCTGTATATATTAGAGCTCCTGATGGTGGAGATGGGTCTTGATGCATGTCAGTACCAGTTCGAGGTCCTCAGGATCACCCCACCAGGAGATGAGCAAGCCTGGATCCAGCAGTAGATATAGCAGGTTGGGATCAAACAGAAGTCTAGTCAGTAAACAAGCCAAAGGATGGTAATAAGTGGTCGCGGGTTGGGATCAAGCAGAAACGTAGTCAAGGAACAAGCCAAAGGATGGTAATAAGTGGTCGCGGGTTGGGATCAAGCGGAAATCTAGTCAGTAAACAAGCCAAAGGATGGTAATAAGTGGTCGTGGGTTGGGATCAAGCGGAAACGTAGTAAAGAAACAAACCAAAAGATGGTAATAAGTGGTCGCGGGTTGGGATCAAGCAGAAACGTAGTCAAGGAACAAGCCAAAGGATGGTAATAAGTGGTCTCGGGTTGGGATCAAGCGGAAATCTAGTCAGTAAACAAGCCAAAGGATGGTAATAAGTGGTCGCAGGTTGGGATCAAGCGGAAACGTAGTCAAGGAACAAGCCAAAGGATGGTAATAAGTGGTCGCGGGTT